GCACCAGTAACCAAGTCAATTCGCAGCCTCCTAGTGTCCTGTTTAGAACCCTCTAGACCCCTCAAAGAGCCTGGGAGCCCAGGATGCAATCTGCCAGTTAAGCAGATTGAAAGAAAAATCAGGCATTCCACAAGGCGTTATGGAACATCGGCGAAACAGTCCTTGGCGCTGATAGGGACGTTAACTGGGCAGGTCATCATCATCATCATCCTCCTCATCATCCTCATCTTCATCATCTTCTTCTTCTTCTTTATCAGTAGCAGACGTAGTAGTACAGTAGGTGGGTTCACTCATGAAATGTCAATCGGAATTCCGAAATGCATTTTCGTTTCGAAAAGATTAATTAAGTAGGGATGTAAAACTGGTCAGCCTGCAACATAATTCTATAATATTTCAGTTAAATCAGGATGCCGGCTTTTGAGCAAACTTCATTCCGGCGGCAGGCAAAAACTATACTACTACTGGAAAAGTATGAATTTTTCTCAGTGATTTTCGATATCCCTAAATGTCCAATTATATTTCATGGAAAACATGCATAAAAATATTCCTTCTTTCTCTCATTTGGTAGAAAATTACGTCTTCAATCAATTGTATACCCGAAGAAAGGGTTTAATTCGGTTTTAAAAAACTTTTCTAATTCCCGAATAATTTTGAACCCGAACTGCCGTTACACTTGCATTCAGGGTTTCGAACCTACAAGCCGTACATTTTCAACGTACGGAAAACCACACATTCCTCTACGGTATTGAGAGGAAACCATATGGGCTTCATAAGATTTAACAGTGGATTTGATCAATATTGTTAACTTTACAAGCCACATTGGTAAATGCAGAGACGTGACGATTTATTAACGGTCATTTCACGGTATTTAAAGTCCCACAATTATAAACTTACAGAAAACCGAATTATGTCCCTCCTCCGAGTATAAAATCAGAGGAAGAGGCAATGTTCTACCGATGGCAGGTGAAACGTTTGCGGCAGGTTTGGGGACCAGTGCTGCTTCCCGCATCATCATCATCATCATCATCATCATCATCATCATCATCATCATCATCATCATCATCATCATCATCATCATCATCATCATCATCATCATCATCATCATCATCATCATCATCATCATCATCATCATCATCATCAGCATCATCATCATCATCATCATCATCATCATCATCATCATCAGTAGTAGTATTATTATTATTATTATTATTAGTAGTAGTAGTAGTAGTAGTAGTAGAGTTAGTGGTGGTGGTGGTGGTGGTGGCAGCTCGTTTCCCTCAAACGGGCCACACGATAGATGCGCTGTAGCAAAACGAGGTGCTGGATCGGAGTCCGGTAGGCGCTATCACACAAGCGCACCCACAATAAATGTCAACATTGGGGACAAGCTCAGTCGCAGGTTCACGCCCCGCCAGTCGAGATCATGCCACCGCCTCATTTTCTTGCAGTGGTCGTCGTGGACAGCGCGGTCTGGTGGCACGCCTAGGTGCGGGTTTTCGCCGTGCCGGCGACCAGAATCCTCTTCCGCCTCCAGTCTTCTTGACTCCGCCTTGACACTAGGGGGCGAGTGCGGTAGATGCTGCGCAAGTCTATTATCACTACAAGCTAATTCACGCATAAGTCACCCTGCTGCGGAGCGCACGATGGACATCGTCGGCAGTGACGGTTGAACTGTCAGTTGTAACGTCAGCTGAATTAGTACTAATAGCGCACTTTTCCCTGTGCCGAGTGAAAGTCGCGTTAGGTTGGCAGCTAGGTTTCCGTAATCCCTATCTGAAGGCTGTTCTAAGGACGTTAGGTCCACAGAAAGTGGCTTCCGGCAGCACTCAAGCAGAGCAGCTAGGGGACCACTGAGACTGACTGGAGCGCGTGAAGTACCTTAGGAATACAGGAGGCTGCGTGTCTCAGGAGATGTTGACTGAAATTTAAAAACATGGCCCCACTTAAAAAGGATTTCTTAGACGGGCCTGTAATATAGATAATCATGCGGCATAATCCCAGGATACAGTAGATATGTCAACTCATGACATGTTAACGGAAATTCTGAAATATGTTTTCAACTCTAAATATTACTTGAGTAGGGCTGTAATGCTAATTAGCGGGCAAAATAATTCCAAGATATTTCAGCTAATTTGGGATGCCGGCTTTTGAAAGAACTTCTTTCCAATCGCCTGCTAAAACTACACTCCGTAAAAGATGGTTACGTAAGCAGTGTGAATTTTTTCATTGATTTTGATGTCCTTGTAAATTCAAATACATTGCATAGAAAACGTGCATAAAATATTAATTCTTTAGCTTCTTTGGAAGGGAATTACATCTTCTTTACATTTTAGGCTTCAACAAAGGGTATAATTCGGTTTTAAAAACATTTCTAATTTCCGAATAATTTTGATCCCGATCTGCAAGCAAACTTGCATTCAGGGTTTCCAGGCTATAAGCTGCGCACTTTCCGTGTATGAAAAATCACGCATTTTCGGTATTAAGAGGAGACCATATGAGATTCATAAAATTTATCAGTGGATTTGAGCCATGTTTTAAACTTTACAAGCAACACTGGTAGATACAGAGACACTGTGTTTTATGAACGGGAATTTCATGGTTTTAAAAAACGCATAATTGGAAACTTTTTTAAAGCCGAATTATACCTTTCATTCAAATATAAAATGTAAAGAAGACGTAATCTTCTTCCAGATGAGTAGAATAATGAATAGTTTTATGCATTTTTCGTATGCAATGTATTTGCATTTTTAAGGGCATAGAAAATCAATAAAAAAATCACACTGCTTAAGTAGTCATTTTTTGCATGATTTTGCAGGCGGATGAAAAGAAGCTTGTTCGAAAGCCGGCATCCCGAATTAGCTGGAAGATCTTTGGATTATGCTGCATTGTGACTAATATTACAACCCTACTTAAGTAATCTTTTCGATTCAAAAAAGCATTTCAAAATTTCGGTCAGCATTTCATGTGTTAGCACGTCTACTGTACTTCAATAACGCCAGGATGCCAACTTTGAATTCCCTTCGTTCTGACTGCCCGCAAAAACCCAACCCATTACAAAACGGTTATTTATGCGGAAGGCATTTTCCGCGGCTTATCAATACCGTCATAAATTCGAATATACGTATAGAAAACATGCATTAAAATATCCTTACGTGTACTCTTCTCAGGATCTCCGAACTTTAAGCTGTACACTTTCCATGCAGAGAGAAGCATGCCCTCCTCAATACTATTAAAGAGACACCATATGGAGGAGGCGAAGATGCGATCACTGGAACAAGACATTTACTAGCCTGACGTTTCGGAGCAATCATCACACCAGCATCCAACACGGATGGCGAAATCCCGGCAATTAACGACTCGGACGCGGACTGACAGGCCATCATCGCATCAGTTACGACCCCAGCAGTGATTGTGAGAGCAGTTAATTACAGTACGCATATGGCCCCACGGCAGCCGCGTGCTATAAATACTGCACTCCCTGAGTCACCATTACTCTTATCTGCGTCTGTCTCTGATGATGGGTTCGAGCGAGAATCCGAAACTTCAGGCCAATAATTTTTTTGTTCCAGTGATCGCATCTTCGTCTTCTAAACTGCTTCCTGGAACTCGCCTGTTCGCTTCTGTCAACATACCATATGGAGCTCATAAATTTTTGCATTGGATGTGAGACATTAGTAAACGACAAATATGGTGCTACTTGAATGGAAATTTCACCGTCTTAAGCACTTCACATGTAAAAAGCTTCTTCGAACCGAGTATGACCTTGGGAGAAGGCACGATTTTCTACTAAATGCGTGCAAGAGGATATACTTTTATGCAAGTTTTCTATGAAGTTTTTCTGAATTTATAAGGCCACTTAGAATCGATAGAAAAAACAATACTGTAGCGAATATGGTTTCTGTTGGAGGGACCGAAATACCCCGGAATTATGCTGTATGATAGCAAATATTAAAAGCCCACTTAAACCATCCTTTCTAATCAGACACATTTCATATTTTCAATCAAATTAAACAAGGCAAAACCGACAAAATTAAGTACGATGCCAGGAGAACTCGAGGCAGTTGTTTCGGTCTCACCTTGTTCAAGATGAGGTTAGATGGGTCAAAGATGATCTCGCTCGATTTTGCAGACAAGGCCCTCACAGAAAAAAAAGAGACCGGTCAGCGACTACGATGTTGAAATAGAAATACAACAGAGCCCAGTACAGTGCATAAAATAGACGACCTAAAATACAAGAACTGTCCTTGTCTGGTGGTTTGGATTCGGAGAGCGAACAATCTGGCGGTTGACAACTACGCTGACCGATATCAGAGTGTTCATCGAAATTACAAAGGATGCCTTCAGTCACAACGGCATTTACCAACGTCAAATGGACATCGCAATGTTGTGGAACGGCCAGCCTCTCCGCCTGCGGCCTGGTGAGCAACCTGGACTTCGATCCAATCGGAAATTTCCTTGCGCTAGTTAAAAAAAAATTGGATAAGTCAAGAAGATACTGTTCGGTGCGCAGTAAACAAACTGACGGTTTCAGTGTCTGCTCGGCTTACAGCCGTTTTGAAAACAGAGGGACAATTAACAAAGTACCGATATGCTCTATTTGTTATTGTATTTCATTGCTTCACTGCCGTATTATATCTTTATTCTCTTTTGTTAGTTATATTAGACTCTAAATAATTAATATGTTCCAAAGACTTGAGGGAGAGCGGAGTCAAGACGATGGAGGATCCACAGCAAGACAACTACCACTCACTGCCTTCAAAGTCAATGACTGCCAGTTTGGAAACTTCACTCGTAAGAAGTCTTCAGGGCAACAAGAGTTGGCGGACTCAAGAGCGGCAGTCAGGCGCGCCTAAAACCCCGATATATTTTGATCAGTTAAACATTTATAGGTCCTGCATTTCCCTCAGGAAACTCTGTCAGAAGAGGGCTTGAGGAGATTAATGATGATGATGATGATGATGATGATGATGATGATGATGATGATGATGATGATGATGATGATGATGATGATGATGATGATGATGATGCGGAGGAAGGGACGCCGGTCTATACGCCTGCTGCAGCTGTGTTACCAATTTTCGTTCTTATATTACGAAGAAGTTTGGCTGGACTGATATCATTGGGAACGATTTAAAGGATGCAAAAGCGCATTCAGTTACCTAATTAAGGAATATGCATAAATTCATGAAAAGTTCTCAGTAACGCAGAAATCGGCCCACGTACACCTGCCAAGATAGGAGACTAAAAAGAAAACACTTTCAGTCCGATTAAAACACAAGAAGAAATTGTCTCTTTTTAATTACCTCAGAAATTATCTACGAAGTTGGAGTAGATCAGTCTATTCAAGGATTATAGACACAGACCGAGAATTTTATACATGAATATTTGAACCAAAGTCCATCAGCCACAGCGGGTAACCGCGTAATATTCATTACCTGCCGACAGGCAGCTAGTCGTATACTTTAGGGTAAGGTGATACCATACTAACAGCACAGGTACTAGCCAAAAGCCCATAACCGCGTGTTTCGCCGATGTTTTGCCGCTTTTGGCTAGTACCTGTGCTGTTAGTATAGTATCACCTTACAAGAAGCAGTGTTGCGAGTTATGTCACACTTGGTTAGAAATGTTGTGCATTATGGCTTCTGCTAAAAAGCCAGATATAGACGATGGTCTAGTCCTCTGAAGATCAAGATTCCCATGATATATTAGTGAATACTTTGCGGTTACCGATGTTCCGAGTCGAGTGTCCCATAGGATGGTTTCTAGAGTTTGTAGTTTTAGAATCCCCTGAAAAACCATTACCGGAGTCTCTTATAAATGTAATGAGTTCTTTTACGTCCGTTCTCGTTCAGATGTCTGGTCGGCTCGTATTTATGGGCTCATCTGAGCATGAAACTGAGTCTTCGAGAAAAAGTGGCTCTGCTAAAGGAGGTCTATAATAAAATTGTTTTGTTGGGGTGTTTGGCCGACGGATGTCCACGACCTCCATCATTAACCCAAATGAAGGCAGGAAAGAGGTGGAACAGTTTGTCCGCTTTTCCTTCGAGAACGAAAAAAGCTGTTTCGCTTCAAACAAGCTCCGTCATATCTGATAAATTGTAGGCCCCGTTCGCCGACCGCAAGTGCTTCACCTATACGTTGCCCAAATGATTCGTGCTGTGTCCAGTACGGGGAATTGAAAATAAAATAGTTTCGGTCAGATTAAAACATAAGAAAAAGTGTTAGGAGTTATGACACACTTGGTTAGAAATTATGTGCGGCCCTTGACTGGGTGCATGACCCAGTGGCTTTATTAGCCCGACGTTTCGGATTCCTACTCGAACCCACCATCAGAGACAAAGCAGATAGGGGTGGTTCATCCATAAGGGGTTGCAGTATTTATAGGATGCAGTCGCCATGCTACCGCATACCTATGAATATTCAAGCCCCCCCCCCCCTTGATCAGGGATCGTAGCAGTTGGTGTGATGACTGTTTGATGGCCGACATTCGTGCCGTTAATTGCTGCAATTTCATCACGTGCGTTGGATGTTGATGTGATGATGACTCGACCATCTGACGCACCGACCCTGGTCTTGGGAAAAGTGTTCACCTCTGCGCTTCCTGCTTGGCTAATTACTCCGTCTAGGCGAAGTCTCAGCACTGAGTATGGAAGGGGAAGGTCATTGCACTTCGCTTCCATTGGCAGCGCAAGTCTGCCATCACTATAAAATAACTCGCGAGCAGGTTAGCGTGTCTGTTCTCACTCTGCTGTGGAGCCCACGGTGGATATCGTCGGTTATGACGGTCGGATTATTGTTCAGAAATAATTACTTGTTAAAAAAGTAAAATCATAAAACAGCGACTATTTGTACTCAATGATTGAATGTGCTCTGTGGATACACATAACTTGTGTCCATGAAACTAATTGGACAACTTGAACACTATAGGCAGGGTAGCGTTTAAAAAACCTTTACATAACCCTCGGGTTAAATATTTTTCAAAATTTAGAATGACATATACTACTACAGTTGGTGGAATATGCTGATGTTGAAGGGGGGTTTTGCGTTGCTCGAAACACACATGGCCAGATGGAAAATCGTTTGATTGAATTCTTCAGTGAGGAGTTTGCAGAAGTAAAAGTTTAATGAGGTCACATATCGAGAGGCCGCTCAGTAGCTACGGAATTGGTATGTAAATAGCAGATATACTTAGGAGCATAGAATCTTCTGTGTGCCAGGTTAGTCCTTCTTCTATGGGTTAAGCAATGGTGCCGACGAAATATCGTGAATACTTTGCGGTTACCGGTGTTCACGATCGACTACCCGAAAGGATGGTTTCTGGATCTCGTAGCTGCAAAAACCCTTAAAATAGAAACGCTGTCAAAGGCTTTTGCCCGCGTAATGATCTATTGCACGTCCTTTCTATGCAAACGACTGATCGGAACGTATTTATGAACCCATCTGAAGATGAGACTGAATCGTTGGGAAGAATGAATGCTTTGAACGAAGGCCTGCTATAGATGTGTGTTCGATAAAATTGAAGTCTTTTCTTAAAAAAACGGTCTAGATGCGATGTTTAACCAATAAATATCCACTTCTGATATTGTTATCTGGTAACAATCGGGAGATGGCACCCAAAAATTCCGCCTAATCAAAGCAGCTTGTCTTATGGGACAGATGATAATAGGGGTTTTATGGGTGGTGGCTGGTCGGGATAAACGATACTAGCCGATGGAAAGCCTTATTTGAACAGGTGAATGATCGAAGTTGGCCCGCTCTCCGTTCCGTTATTACAAAATGGATCCTCAAAGCAGTATAGTGGTAACGGACGAGTGGACGGCGTATAATCGTCTTCCCTCAGAAGGTTATCTACATTTCTCTGTTAACCACTCAAAGAACTTCAAGGACTCTACCACCGGACGGCACACCAATGCCATTGAGGCATACTGGAGTAGACTGAAAAGGAAACTCCACGAGGGAGGCTGTGTGGGCTCACATAGACGAAGTACAGTATCGTCTTCGGTTTGGCCTCAATTCCATGTCTTTGACAGATGCCTGGGAACTGTTCCTGTCCCATGTTGTGCAGACTTATTCTATTTAAAAGTGATTTTATTTTGTAATAAACTGCCATAATGCGAATGTATGCCGTATATTCAGGTGTACGTGTGTAACGATGGGGAAGGTTGGGTAACAGCGACCATCGTCCATGTAACCTTCTGCGATGTTCGTTCGGCCAGCCCATGTTAGGCCATCGGAGAAAGTCCAAGTAGTGCGTGAAAGTAGGCCTGCAACCGCTGATATAGCCGGAAGGCGTTTGAGTTCACTGTTAAAGGTATTATTTCTAGGTAACGGATTTTTTTGGGTGCCAACTCCCGATTGTTACCTGTTATCTAAAGCAAAGACAGGAAAAAGTTGGAACATTATGCCTGTTCACGCACTTCTATACCGGACACTGATGAATTTTTCACCGCGAACGAAAACCTATTTTCCTAATTTTTGGGACCATATTGACTTATAGGCTTCATCCTACAATTACAAATACATAATTGATTAACTATATAAATATCAAAGTATTTGCCCTTCTAAATTCAGTATTAGCATAAACCAATCCGCACAACAGACATCTTCCCCTACACTCAAAAGTCAACATAACTGGCTAATGGGGATCTTTTGCGGTTGGTTAGGAAATATTTTTGCGCCGGTCTGAAAATCACGTACATACTAGAACAGAAGATGGCCTGTAACCGTTGTCACTGCACAACTTTAAAAATTAGAATTGTTAGGTACGAAAAAATGATGATTTTTCGTAAAATAGTGTACCTGGTTACGTCTTGCCTTGCCTGACTTACGCATACTGGTCAATGAAGTTTCGAGATAGCGAAACCTGCTTCGCTAAACCTTTCTCATGGGATGGTGGAAGGGCGTTCATCGATCGCGATATGGAACTCATTCGTCCTGTTGTGTCCTGGGGCTCTCTTTCGAGCCCCGTCAGCAGCCACACAGCTGTACATGGTATTACTGACAAGGACAAGGAAGACAGAAATGGCCATTTCTGGCTTATTAGCCGTCGTCAGTTAGCCATGCTCAAGCCAGTGGCATACAGCCCCTGGGGTCCGATCCTGTGACCTGTTGGTTAGAGGTACAACGCCCGTAACCCGAAACCCTAACCCTAATCCCCAACACTAGCACCTAACCATTACCCCTAACCATAACCCCTAATCCGAACCCCAACAGTATTCAGTCCATCAGGTGGGGCTACATAAACACATCATACCCACGGCTGAAAACCCAGACACGCGTCTTGTTGAAAGTGTGCCGTTGCTTGACGCAGCTACGAGGGGCTCGGCTCGTCAAGCGCGTTTCCCGTGCACTTTCTGGTAGATACACCAGATTTGAAATCTCATATTTTCAATTTCCTCAAAAATTAACGTGCCAGCTTGGAAGTTGTCAGAGTCAGTTCGAAAGTTGATGCTAGAAACCGTGGCTTGGAAGCCTACAAACTCCCCCACTCAGTTGGAATCCGAGCCACCACGCCTCCTTAAAAAAAGAAAAACGAGCGGAAGGTCGTGATGCAGATACGCTCAGACCATGATAGGACTGTCGCCTGTCGGGGCTACAAATTATTCAGTTGTTTTTTTGGACGCACAAAAGCCCAGCTGCCCAACATTCGAGCAGCGCGAGAAAAAAACACCAGACTGTCTGAACCGTCCAATGTACTTTAAAAGTACATATGTGCTGCGCCTTTGAAAGGACTGAATGGGTCCTCTTTGTGCAGGACTTGTCAACTCTGAGAACCCGATAATTTGTTTGCTCAGCTACACGTCTATTCAGGATGGGAGGGGGGGGGGGACGGGAGGGTGAACCCAGAACCATCCCCCTCCTCCTCCTCCTCCTCCCGCGTTGTGTGATGGCTCCGGCTATTGGTGATCCAGTGACTAATCTCATGAAACGTTTATCAAAATTCTGAAGTGTGTATTCGATTGGACAGGATTGTTGCATATATTTATTACCCCATGATATGTCCGACAGGCCAGGATGCTGGCCTTTAAATTTCCTTTTTTTGGACGCCCTCAAAGACCGCAGTCATAAAATTATGACCACAGTAGGTGTGCTAATACATGAAATATTGACCGAAATTCTGAAGTGCGTTATCATTTCGAAAAGATCACTTAAGTAGGGTCGGTATATTAATAACTGTGCAGCATATCTGAAATGCGTTTTCATTTTGAAAATATTACTTAAGTAGGGTTTTAATATTGATCACCGCGTAGCATAACCCCTTGATAATTCAACTACTTCGGGATGCCGGCTTTCGAACGAACTTCTTCACGACCGCATATAAAAACCAAACTCTGTAAAAAAGGACTACTCAAATAGCATGATTTTTTGTCATTTCTTTTAGATGCCCATATAAATTCAAATATATTTCGTGAAAAAAATGCATAAAAGTATTCATTCTATCACTCATTTGGCAGAAAATCACGTCTTCCTTCAATTTTATACTCGAAGGAAGGGCATAATTCAGTTTTCAAAAGTTTCTTATTATGAGATTTTTTAATATTGTGAAATGCTCGCTCATAAAACTTCGTGTCTCTGCATTTGCTAATGTGGCTTCTAAAGTTTACAATATGGCTCAAATACACTGTTGAATTTAATGAACTCCATGCGGTCGCCTCTTAATACCGTAGAGAAATGTACGGTTTTTCGTACGCGTAAAATGTACAGCTTGTAGTTTGGAAACCCGGGATACAAGTGTAACGGCAGGTCGAGTTCAAAATTATCGGGGAGTCGTAAAAGTTTTTAAAACCGAATTATACCCTTTCTAAGAGCATAAAATTGAAAGAAGACGTAAGTTTTCACCAAATGAGTAAAAAATGAGTATTTTATGCATGCTTTTTATAAAATATATTTGAATTCATATGGGCATCGAAAATCAATAAGAAAGATTCACGCTAATTTAGTAGTCATTTTTTACAGAGTGTAGTTTTTGCACACGGTCGGAAAGTAGTTCTTCCAAAAACCGGCCTCCTGGGATAGTTGAATTGTTATGGGATTATGCTACGCGGTGATTAATGTTACAACTCTACTTAAGTAATCTTTTCAAAATGAAAACGCATTTCAGAATTTCGGTTAACATTTCATCTGCTAGCGCACATATTATAGTCATGATTTTATGACTGAGGACTTTGCTAGCGCCCGAAATGTAGCGAATTTACACAGTTTGCACTTTTCTATTGATTTTCGATGCCCTCCATACCTTCAGGCATATTTTATAAAAAAGTGCCCAAGCATATTATTTTTCGTATTTCTTTAGTGGCGAATTACGTCTCCTCCAAAGTTTTCATTCAAAAGATGGGTGCCTTTCGATTTTAACAGACTTTCCGATTGGGAGATTTCTTAGAAATTTGCAATGTCCACTCAAGTAGCTTCCTATCCGTCCGTTTAATAATGCTCGTCAAGAAGCATGAAACATATGCCTTATACATTGCAAAATTTTATAAACTCTATACTGTGTCTTTTTAATAACGTGAAGGCATATATGACTGTCCTCCCATGGAGAATATAAAACCCGTAAACCGAAAACCCTGAACGCAAATGCATCGGCAGATTGGGCTCAGTACTATTTTGAAATTGATAGGCTTTTGGAAACTCAAATAAAACCTTCCTTCGAATTCAAAATTTTAATAAAGACCTGACATGCTTTCAAATGAATGCAAAAAATACGATTTCGTGCATGTTTTCTATAAAAGGTATGCAAGCCTGACTGGAGCATGGAAATTCAATAAAAAAACGTGAACTGATTAAGTGATATTATTACTATTAATCCTACTACTGTCACTTATAATGATGATAGTGATGACGACTATGATTATAATCGCGATGATGATGATGATGATGATGATGATGATGATGATGATGATGATGATGATGATGATGATGATGATGATGATGATGATGATGATGATGATGATGATGATTATGATGATGATGATGATAATGATAATGCTTCTACTATTGCTACCACTATTACTACTTCCACCATTACTGACGCAACTGCCGCCAATACCAATGGGGCTACTAGTTCCACTGCTGCCGTCACTAATACTACTGTCACTACTAAAGATATCAACAGTATTAATACTCACGAATGGAAGAGAATATGCGCATCCCAGGTTCTTGTTTAAAAGAAGGCGAAGGCACGATCACTGGGACAGTAGGTCTATTTGCCGGAGCTTTCGAACTCGAACTAGAGTTCATCATCAGAGACTACTCGAGTGCAGCAAATTGTGAACATTTATATCGTTCGTCCTTGCGGGGGGGAGGGGGGAGTACGTCCGTGGCTAGGTAGGGTTTGTGCCGCCTGGTCCACGATGTTCCCCCGGCGTGGGGACGCCGTTTGTACTTTGCGACGGTGTGAGCTGCGCCACCTGGCTGCGTGGGCGGAGCGCGTGATAACACTATAACTATACTATAACTGTTGCTGCTAATACGGCTACCGAACATTCGAGTAATTCCCTGCGTTAATAGCTGTCCTAGACGCAGTTCGCGCACCTAGGATTGTGTTCCTTTTAAATGAGAGTAATTCAACATGGAGAGTTTTGCCAAACTGCTTGCCGCCATGAAAATCGGTTCCTTTCCGCTGCTAACCGCATGAAGCAGGTTGCGAACAGACAGGTTATTTTGGAAAATCGGATTTTTTTTATCGATTTTTAAAACTCAGATTTGTAAAACACCGCGCGTTTTTGTGCCTTAAAGTGCGGCAATAACGCTTACCGACGGTCAGTTGTTTGAATGCGTCGATATTGTCCTGCCACTTCCAAATAAACGATGAGTAACTATAAAAATGGTCGTCATCGAACATACGGGAAGAAACTTGTTGTGCAGTTTAGTTTCTGCTTTGCGTTATATTTAAACGGAAGGGCGAAAAATTAACGGTTTGAGTAATATGCCAGTACTTATATGATCACTCGGTTGAAAATTTATACTCGTGGAACAGAACTCAGAAATAGGCAAAGATAGTCAAAATGGCTCCGGTAAAAAGAGGAGAGTACGTTATTCAATTTTGCAGGAAAAATCCTAAACAGGACAGCGGAAAAACGTCCAAGACTGCAAACTATTTCTTGGCGTTGGCCTGTAACAAAATAAAGTACGTTGACACCCGTCAACGTTTAATTAGGCAACTAATAACAGAAGGTTGTTTATTGATCGAAAGCGTTTTCGTCTTTGGCTTCTGTCGTCGACGTTCATTTTTTCGACGATGGGGTTCGGGTCTGTGTGAGTTAAATCGGAATGCCGACTTGCGAACAAACCTCTCACTCTGGTTACCTGTAAGAACCATATTCGATCAAAAAAGGCTGCCTAACGTACAGTTTCCCTTATAGGGGAAACAGAGAGCTTGTGCCTTGGAAATCCTGAATGCCAGTGTGACAGCAAGTCGGCTTCAAAACCATTTGGGAGTGGAAAGTGGCTGATTTTTTCGTTTCTTCTTCAAGCACAACATTTGAAGAAGGCATAATTTAACGATAAGATGTGGTTATGTCGCCCCACCTGACGGACGCAATACTGTTGTGGGTGGGGTTAGGTTTTGGGCTAGGGTTAGGAGTTATGGTTGGGGGTTAGGGTTAGGGGTTCGGGTTACGGACGTTGGACTTCTAACCAATAGGTCACAGGATCGGACCCCAGGGGTTGTATACCACTGGTTTGGGCATGGCTAACTGACGACGGCTAATAAACCAGGAATGGCCATTCCAGTCTACTTTGTTTTTGTCAGTAATACCATGCACCGCTGTGTGGCTGCTGACGGACACAACGGGACGAATGAGTTCCTTATCGCGATCGGTGAGCGCCCCTCTACCATTAGATGAGAAAGGTTAGACAAAGCAGTTTTGGTTATCTCGAAACTTTATTGACCAGTATGTGTAAGTCAGGCAAGGCAAGACGTGATCAGGTTCACTATTTTACGAAAGATCACCATTTTTCGTGCTTAACAATTCTAACTTATGAAATTGTGCAGTAACAACGGTTACACGCCATCTTCTGTTCTAGTATGTACGTGATTTTCAGACCCGCACAAATATTTCCCAACCAATCGCAAAAAGGTCAACCATTAGCCAGTTATTTTGACTTTTGAGTGTAGGGGAATATGTCTGTTGTCGGGGTTGGTTTATGCTAATAATGGATTTAGAAGGGCGAAGACTTTGGTATTTATATAGCTAATCAATGGCGTACTTGTAATTGTAGAACGGAGCCTATAAGTCAATATGGTTCCAAAAAGGAGGAAAATATTTTTTTCGTTCGCGGCAAAAAAATTCATCAGATATAGAAACGCGTGAACAGGCATAATGTTCCAACTTTTTTCTGTTTTTACTTTGGATAAGGATGAAAGAAGTGGATATTTATCAGTTAAACATCCCACCTAAATCCTTTTTTTGTAGAAAAGGCTTCAATTATATCGAAAACACATTTATAGCGGGCCTTCGTTCGAAACGCTCGTTGTCCTCAACGATGCAGTCTCATGTTCTGATGAGTTCATAAATACGTCCCGATCAATCGTTTGCATAAAAAGGACGTGCAATCAGTCATTATGCGGTCGAAAGCCCTCAACAGCCGTCCTAGTTTAAGGGTTTTTGGAGCCACCAAATCCAGAAACTATCAGGAAAAATCATAAAAGGCATAGCGGAAAAACGGCCAAAACTGCGAATTTTTCTTGACGTCAGCCCCTAACAAAGTAAAGTACGTTGACACCCGTCAACTTTTAATAAGGCAACTTATAACAGAAGGTTTTTTAATTGATCGAAAGCGTATTCGTCTTTGGCTTCTGTCGTAGACGTTCATTTTTTCGACGATGGGGTTCGGGTCTTATATCGGGATGCCAACTTGCGAACAAACCTCTCACTCTGGATACCTGTAAGAACCATATTCGATAAAAAAAGGCTGCCTAACGTACAATTTCCCTTATAGGGGAAACAGAGAGCTTGTGCCTTGGAAATCCTGAATGCCAGTGTGATAGCTAGTCGGCTTCAAAACCATTTGGGAGTGGAAAGTGGCTGATTTTTTCGTTTCTTCTTCAAGTATAACATTTGAAGAAGACATAATTTCAACGGCTGGAGTCGCTGGTTTTCCGACACCACAGACCGAAATTCTGGGCTCGGTATGTGGATGACACCTTCGTCGTCATCGAACGGGATCAGGTGCTGACTTTCAAAGAACAACTCAACGCCGTCTTCCCGGACATTCA